CCCTCAAATCACCCCCTCAAACTGAATTCCGAAAAACAATCTCCAAATATAACACAAAATCACAGAGCGGTAACATCAGAGACAAAGACTGTCTGTATCGACAGTTGAGACAGGCGGTGTCCAGTGTCAATTTATGTCAGTGAACGAAACGGAGTGGAGAGTAGGGATCAAAGAGGGAGGTGAGGGAGGAGATGGGGGAGAGGGGAAGGGAGAGAGGGGAAGTGATCAAGGGGGGGAGAGAGATAGAGAGAATGGGGGAAAGAGATGGGAGGGAGGAGGAATTGGGGAAAGCGCCGGGGTTAAAAGTTAGTGTTAGGGTGAGGGTGGGAGGAGGAGGAGGTAGGAGGTAGGAGGAGGAGGTAGGAGGTAGGAGGATGAAGGAGGGCAAAAAGGAGGAAGGAAGACAAAAAGGAGGAGGAAGGAAGGGAAGAAGGAGGGTAAGGGTGGGAGGAAGAAGTGGTGAAGGAGAAGGAGAAGTGTGAAGAAGAAGAGACAAAGGAGGAGGAGGAAAATGGAGGTATAAGCCAACGCCTTCACACGCTGGGAGATCTTACATATCTAGATGGTAGCAGAGAGGAAGGATGGAGAGATGGAGAGATAGTTTTAGCTTTAGTAGAAGTTTTACGGCGCTCACAACTGCATAAGGTCATATGAACGCCAGAAGATTAGAGGTGTTACAAGAGAGTAACAAACATAAAAAAAGAAGAAGGGGGAGAGTTAGGACGATAGATGTTTGATAGGAAAGAAAGAGCAAACCACACCAGAGCACCCGCCAACTACCCATCATGGAGAAACGGAGAGATAGAGAGGGAGACATGGAGAGAGGGAGAGATGGAGAAAGGCAGAGAGGGAGAGATGGAAAGAGTGAGAGAGTGGAAGTATAGAGGTCTCATCAGACAGAGTGATATAGTGAGAGAGGGGAGGTATAGACTCACGTGCTGCATGGTTTTACAGATCTGGTTGACCACAAAGAGCAGAGAGAGTGGAGGTATAGACTCACGTGCTGCATGGTTTTACAGATCTGATTGACCACAAAGAGTAGGGAGAGTGAGAAAGTGGAGGTATAGATTCACGTGCTGCATGGTTTTACAGATCTGATTGACCACCAAGAGTAGGGAGAGTGAGAGAGTGGAGCTATAGACTCACATGCTGCATGGTTTTACAGATGTGGTTGACCACAAAGAGTAGGGAGAGTGAGAGAGTGGAGGTATAGACTCACGTGCTGCATGGTTTTACAGATCTGGTTGACCACAAAGAGTAGGGAGAGTGAGAGAGTGGAGGTGTAGACTCACGTGCTGCATGGTTTTACAGATGTGGTTGAGCACAAAGAGTAGGGAGAGTGAGAGAGTGGAGGTATAGACTCACGTGCTGCATGGTTTTACAGATCT